GATTCCTTGCGATCTTGCTACGGCACGAAAAGTGCAAAAACGCATAATCGCACCGGCCCGCCTGGGCGTTCCAGCCTGGGTTTGCTACAAGAATTCGCTCGGAATGAAACTAGCAGCACTTCAAGATTCATTCCGGAGCACATTCGAGTGCCGCTAACTGGAAGAAGTTCTTTGTTTCCCTCCTGTCATGGACGAAGCCCTTTTTTGCACATGAATGCAGACTGGAACAGAATTGAACCACTCGTATCTTCATATCCAGACGCAGCACGCCACTCGCTACGTCACCGGCCCTTGTATCTCAGAAACAGCGCGGGGATATTGCTATTGTGTATCTGCTATTAATGCTACAACACACCTGTGTTTTTCTTGTCTGCTTCCCATTGGCAATATTCATTTTTTTGTAGAAGCTTCTTCTTTACCGCCTTGTGGCCTGTAGGCACGAGCTAGGATTTTTCACTTGAATTTTGAGAGGAGAGTATCTGCAGGTGAGCTGTACGGAAGATTACCGGCTGGGCTGGCCAGCGCTCGGGCAGCGTGAGCTCGGCACGCTTCACGCCGAACTAACGATGAATGCCGCCGGCGTTGCCCGCGCACACGTACAGCAATTGTCTTTCAAGCGACACACAACCATCGTTTTCGACCATTCTTCGCAAGATCACATCTCCGACAAGAATGCTTCTCCTCAGCATGCCAGACAGATCATTGGCGAACTGTGCGGCGCGCAAGATCGCGTTGCTCCTGACGTAAGTTCACTTTGCATGTTCAGTCTTTGCACCCACACCGAACAGTCATTTCATCAAAGCGGTTTTGATTCATTTCGCAGGTTTTGCTCTTTCTCTTTGAACGATTCCAGGCTGCTTCTCACTTCGCCGACTTAGTGAATCATCTCCGCGGATTATCTGCTACGGAGATAGTGTCCGTTTCCAGCCCAGGATGCGGTGCATTCGCCGATGCTCTGGCCGCCTGCGCGTCGCAGTCATGCTTGGCGCACCTAGGCAACTTAATAAACGCAGGAGCCGCACCGGAATCTGTCTATTCGTCGCTCTCTCTAGTACCAGCTCCCGAAGATGGCATCGTGGATTCGGTGGCCTCATTCATTGATCGAGTTCCACTTCACGGTATCATTCTTTATTTTCATCTCACTGTCTGCACTGCTCAGTGACTTTGCGAATAGTTATATGCACGCTTGGAATTCTTTTTTTCTAGGCCTGCTACCAGTCTCATCAATGGTCCAGTCCTACTGTAACGGTCATCCGGAGTGCGGAAGGAATCCATCGGTGCAGCGCATCATACAAAGCATCGTGGCGAAGCTTCCAGCTGACTGTCGAGTTGGAGAGCGATTCGACGAAATCGAAGTAAGTGCGCTTCCGATTGCGGTAACCTCTTTATGAATGGATTCTCTTCATGAAATGCGGGATGAATTCTTTCAGAAGACTGTTATTATTCTAAAATCTGTTGGGAATATTGCCAACGAGCAGCAATCGTTGCCGTCCATACTGGCCTGTATCGATAATCAGCATATCCCGAGGGATGTGAAACTTGCAGCGATCAATGCATTACGCAGAAAACCGTGTGGTCGACAACGGAATGACAAAATCAGTAAATTGTATCGCGATCACAAGGTTGGCTCCTCTTCCTGAATAGGTGTCAGCTATTCGTTTAAACTGAATTTTGGACTTGATGATTTTAATCTAATTTTGAGGAATAATTAAATTTCACATCAACCGTAGGCAAAATTTTATTTTTTAATAATTTGGCATCAGTTTAACTCTGTGATTGGGTAGGAGACTCCAAATTTATGAAGAAGTTTACTGTTAATATATAAGTTTGTAATGTAAAGTAAGCTCTTGCTTTCGGATGTGCCCTATGCAGGAACATAAAAAATATTTAAAGACTGCAACACTTCCATTATCCGTCTCTCTCTGTAATCAAACAGCCAAAAAGGCAAAAATTTTTACTGAATACTAGCGTGTCCTGTGCAAGTAAAATGTAAAATCAGTAAATATGTAAAATCTGTAATTAAAATGTAAAATAAACATTAAAAAATTTAAAATTTATGTAACGTAATGTAAAATAAAATGTGAAATACTCAGACTGAAACGCACCAGGCGAGCCGGTGCGATCATGCGTTTTTGTACAAAACTTGAATTGGGTTAACTGCATGAACGGTTATTTCTTTACACCTACCCTGTGTGCTTAATGCCAAAAATCATCGTAAATTTTGCATTAAAGAAATAAACTATTTCCATTTAGCGGTGTTTTTTGAAAATAACCCAACTGTTTAATGAGTAATTTTCCCGCCAGAAATTTAATTGCCCGTACACGAGAATCATGCGTAAATAAAGACTGAG